GGATCAAAACATTAATACTAACAGACTCGAGTTTCGCAGCTTCAATAGAATCAACTCTTAAGTAATTTATAACTATTTTATGTAACTAAATTTAACACTGTTGCTCTAGTGCCCTCTTTCAGTCTCCATTGGCTTCTAATACTAGTGATGCGGCTGGAAAAGTGGCGCTGGGATCTTCCGGAGTCTTGCTTTGCCTTCCACGTGTGGGGAAAAAAGCCTGGCTCGGAGATTCTTGGGCGAATGTGTATATTGTATATAGGTATGATTGTGTTTAGAAGTTTTATGTTATTTGTTTATTTTATTTTTTTTTTATTTAACTTCTTCACCAGTATTATTTATTTACTTCTATATTTATATTTATTTCTTTATTATTTGTATATATTTTATGAATGAGAACTTTTAGCCCTAATGCTTATGGCCCTCCAGCAGTGGCTGATTGTATTATTATTCAATAAACAGATTAAAAAAAAAAAAAATTAACGATGGAAAGAGTTGTATAAATTAATTTGCTTTATTGAATAATTAATATTGCTTTAATGTGAAAATATTGTCATTGATAACAGAGAAATTAAAATTTTATTTTTTATATTGTAAGCCTTAATCACATCTTGAGTGGTGTGAAAAGTATCTACTTTAATCCTAAGTGATTTTTCTTACCAGTGAAGAATATGCTGCAGAAATGAGGTTGCAGGAATCCATAAGAATAAATACCATTGGCCTTGGTGAAGTTACTAAAAATTGTACGAATAGAAAAAAAATGATAAACTAACATATATTTCAATTCTTGTGTATTATAAGAATTAGAAGATGTAATTTCTTGTTTAGAACTTAAGAATATTTTAATAAAGATAGTGAAAATACAAACTCTGCTTCTGCTAAATTTAAGCGATATAAACGGTTGATAGGAACACACTGAGGAAAAGGAAAGGGTTTGTCCTACAATCATCCACAAGAAGTAAAGTATACATTAATCCAGTAGATGCTTCCTCAATTGATGACATATTTGGGTTGATATAAACATGTGTAATATCTCCTTTTAATGTATCATAAACGTTTTTGTTGTAATTTTCAAATATTTTTTAATGGCTAAATGACCTCAATGGTTGACCGAACAGTTTTTTTTTTTAAATAATCTATTAAGATGTACATCTTTATATATTTTTTTATCAAAATTAATTTGCTGGAATCATAAGTCAGTATGCGATCAAGGAGGAGGGAAAAAACCAAACAAGAAAAATACAAAAAAAATATTACAACACAAAAGAAAAAAAAATCATTAACCCTGATCACAGACTAATGTTTAATTTAATCCCGATTAATTTATTAAAACTAACCTCTTTCTCGTAGGTTTCTACTGATCAACTTAGTTTCAGAATGATATTTCTTGTGATGATATTTGGTATTTTTTTTTTTATTTTAAACCAGAATTTTAAAATTAAATTATCGAGAATTCTACTTCATACTTACCAGGACTTGAAATCGATAATTATCTTTTTAACAAAACTATGAAATAATTATTATATTTGATTTTTATTTAAAAATCATGCCTGATATATAAATATAAATTTCATTAGATCTTTAATGTCTATTGATTCGATTAAAAATAATGATCACTCACTGAGTGATACGATTTTACATAAATAGTAATTATTAAATTGCAATTAAAAAATTTTAACGCGGAAATAGAAATCATCTTTTACACACAAATTAAATAAAATATTAATATGTATGTATACGTTATTAATGTACACATTTTTGAATATTCTTCTTCTTATTCTTCCATGTGCCTTTTATGAAATAAATTAAATCTATTTATTTGTTATAACTAATTTAATAATTAAAATTAAACATTAACATTCATATTAAATGTTGTTCAAAGTGAAGGAGTTACAATATTTTAATAGGTCCTCATTTCTAGCCGCATCAACTCAATGCGGGCATATTTCTGGAATTTCTCAATAATGATTTACTATGATTTAGTTGATCATATACCACTTAAACTGAGAAGGAACTATGTGGCTTCAATTAGATGGTTGTTCTGCACACTACGGAAGAGATCCACTACAATTGTTAATGTTAATTATCCCAAACGGTGGATTAGCCGTGCAGTACCAGTGGCTTGGTCTGCACGCTCTCAAGACCTGACACTATTGCTTTATTTGTTTGGGATGACATTATACAAAACATCTATACAAGTCCGGTCAATGATCCTTATTCCTTACGAAGAAGGATAATTGAATCTTGTGAAACAATAACATATATCAAGTGACGTTCTGCCACTACTGCTGTTAAACAAAGATGTCGAGCCTGTCTTAATGCTCAAGGAAATCGTTGAAGAACATTTAATATGAACTTAATGTTTACGTTTAATTAATAAAGTAGTTGGACCAAATAAATAAGTTGCATTTACTTAATATAACGTAAATAATTCATAACAATGAAAATCTTTAGGTGTGAATATCTCCTAAACTAAGCATTTCGGGACTTACCTTCAAAAGATTTTTTTCTTGTTTTGAGGTCCTTAATTCATATTTTCAGTTTGGCCACTTGATCCTGAAACACCCTGTGTATATATTTCTTTATTTTTTTTTTTTTGTAGGGCAAAATTTCTAATGAATTTCGGAAATAAAGATGATCTGCTCCTAATAGTTGAAAACAACATTCTCCATCTACTACTCCATACTCAAAATATATCATAGAGATTATAAAAAATATATATTTCTGATTTTAAAAATTATTATATCGACGCCTTTATTTTTACTGTATCATTTTATATTAAATATATAAGATTTATCTTTTCATCCATATATAAAAGTATTATAATATAAATCTGTTGGCAAGCCTTCATTTGCGAAACTACGTTTAAAAATGATAAATGGCTTTCTCATGGTAATAATCAGAATGATCACTCTTGACTAGGTCCCGAGTATGATTGATTTGCTTTCAACCCCTTGCATTCTCTAATTAATTCATAGCTTGCTCTTTACTCTTTCTCTTTAGTGAGTGCTTAACGGTGGTAATAGTTGTATGTACTACAGAAAAAACAATACTCATTAATCGCATTAATTTCCGTTTCGAAAATTCAATCTATGGATTAAAATATTACCTAAACCAAAATTTTATATTATTTTTCTGCTAAGAAGAAAAGAAAATCAAACAAAAATAATAAAATGTTTATTATTTTTTAATACAGTTTTTCCTTTCAATAAACAATAAAAAGTAATAATATATACTATTAATAGACCAATTATACTACTTCTTGAAAATAAACAAAACATTCCTTGAAGTGACAGTGGAAAAGCAAACAAATTAAATATATGTTTTTGAAATTATATAAAACTATACGAAGATGTGATTTCTGCTTGTAAAAAAAATTATAGTAATTATCGAACCCACAATTCTATGCTGAAAAACCTTTAAATACCTTTGAAGGATTATATCGATTTTGGGAAAAGAATAAGTAACTAGTAGATTTGGTGTAACAAGTAAATTATTTTGATTCATCCAACTTAATTGTTAAGGGCGTGTTCATTCAAATGAGATTGAGTTTTATAATATAAATATGTATTAAACATAAAATAATACGTTTATAGTAAAAATAAATTCAAACAAAACAGTTAGGTTGGATATGATTATGAAAATAACAAAGTATAATCATTATTACTTCCATACATATTATAATTTGAATTTAAGATAAAGGTAAACAAAAACATAGATATCATGTATAAAATATCAATTTTTTTTTTTTTACTTCTAATAATTATTCTATGTTGACTTCATGTCATCTGAAATGTTATCAATATATTTACTTAAATACTTATTTCTAGATGCAGTATATACAGGACAATGGAACAGAAAATTACATAAATCTTCAGGTTCGGGTATATTACGAATAACGGATATGATATCACGATGAGCATATATGTATGATATATGTGCCATTTGTGCAAAATATGCTTTATTAAGTTCTTCATGTTTTTTTTTTTTATTTTTGAATTACTAGTTATTACTATTAACCATTTGTAACTATAACTAGTATTATTTTAGTAGTAATCATAACTAATAATTTTTCATCAGCCGTGGATCGAATTAATTATGGTAAAATCTGGCTGTTGAGCGTGATCTCGTCCTAATAACCTCCCTGCACAACCGTTGGTCTGGTAACAGTACTTCCTCACATAGTACTGAACCCAATACCGTTCATAGGTTTTTTTTTTTTTTTTTAATGTATGAATACTAAGTCACTGTTAGAAGAAGATAGTATGCATATTTTTTTTCAAACTTTAAATATGTTCTTAGAGCAGCGATGGACAAAATCGGAATCAATGATTGCATGATTACAAATGAAAATTTAATTTAATGATTATGTCAATTTTATACTTGATTCTACAGCGCTATAAATATAAAGAAAATCTGTACATTTTACAATAAACATTAATTATGATTGTAATAAAAAGTTAGTTTTCCTTTATTGTATCAAAGAGTTAATCACGCAAATCATAATCACTGTATACGCAATCACGTGATCATAATTACTGTAATCGTAATCGTTGATTATTCTATGGTTTAAGTCGCGTTAAGCACTATGTATAGATAGTTGTCTATTAATTGCTTAATGAAAGGTGTATAGGACACTTATATGCCACTTTGATTCAATAAAGGATAACTAAAACAATTTTGTACATTTATAATTAAGGTTTACTGTAAAATGTACAGAATTCTAATTATTTTGTTTCAACACAATATGGATTTCTATCATGTCAAGGATGAATAAAATGATATTTATCAAATCATATTGTATTCTTTTTTGAGATTTTTCAGAGCTTACATTTGTTAGGATTAATAAAAATTAATAATCCCGTCCTTGAAGCAACACTTTTTACATTTTCAAATCCAAAAATGTCTAGAAAAATACTTCTAGGTTAGTTAAGTAGATCAATATTTATTTTAAATTCAGTTTGTCACATAAAGAACTCTTCTTGACCCTGAACTGATTTTAGATGGAGCTGGTAGTATATATTCTGCTCCGAAGGGAGTGGACCACATTCACTCCTCTCCACCAGGTCCAGGACAGCACCACCACCAAACATGTACAAGATCGTAAGTAGTCGTCTCAGCGATACTTCATCCCTTCTATCTGTCTCTCATTTATCGCAGTTATTTTTATAAAAAGAATTAAACTTTAATATTAAATAAAAATGGTTTTAAATCATAATCATCATTAATGCTACCATTATAACCATTATATCTTGTTAGTGAACTTACGTAAACAGTTTAATATTTATAAATTTGATTTTTCTATTCCTTTTGTTAAATATAGACAACAAACTTTTATGTAGCTACCGATATTAGTTAAGATGAATTAATTAAATTAAATTTCTGCATATAATAGGTAGCTTGACAATTCTAATATTCCAAAATCAACGAACCAAAAATATAGTCTATAAAATATTTTATTTTTCTGTTACGCAACTATATGAAATTAGAAAAAAATTGTTACAAGTATTTTTTTTTAATTAATATTAACTGATGTTAATTGAAAAAAAAAATGTATGCGGTCAAATTCGATTTCAGTCTCGTCTATCAGGGATGATAGACATAGGCACCACGTTTACATTTGGTTATAAATGGAAAATATAAATTTGTATTATTAAATAAAGAATTATTAATTAATCCCATAGATAGATTTAGGTTAAGGATAAATGATACATTTTGAATAATATTAACTCCTTTTACAGGTCGCACTCTTGGCCCTCTCGCCTGCGCCAATGCTGGCTACCTTGGAGGTTACGCTGCTGCCCCAGCACTCAGCTACGGCGCTAGCTACGGCTATGGAGCTGGATACGGTTACGCTGCACCAGCCGTTGCAACCGTTGCCCATGCTCCAGCTATCTCTTACGCCGCACCAGCTGTCGCTACTGTAGCTCATGCTCCAGTCGCTGTAGCTCATGCCCCAGTCGCCACATCCTACTCTAACACTTACAGGACCGTCAACAAACCAGTTGCCGTTGCCGCTCCAGCTCTCTCATACGCTGCTCCAGCAGTCTCTTACGCTGCCCCAGCTGTTTCTTACGCTGCCCCAGCTGTTTCCTACGCTGCCCCAGCTGTTGCCACCGTAGCTCATGCTCCAGCAGTGTCCTATGCTGCCCCAGTCGCCGCTGTAGCCCACGCTCCAGTCGCTACCTCCTACGCTAACACCTACAGGACCGTCAACAAGCCTGTAGCCGTTGCCGCTCCAGCCATCTCCTACGCCGCCCCTGCTGTCGCCACCGTCGCTCACGCTCCAGCAGTTTCCTACGCCGCTCCAGCTGTCTCTTACGCTGCCCCAGCCGTAGCTACCGTAGCTCACGCTCCAGTCTCCTACGGTCTTGGATACAGGTCCTCATACGGTCTTGGATATGGATACGGTCTTGGCTATTCCTCCCTCCTCCATCACTAAGCTTCTGTGAAGTTTGTGGTACCTGAAGTCAATTCATGTCTAGAAAACTTAATTTATGTAAATAGGTATTTAAATAAATAATTTATATCTGTATATTTTTTTATTTTATTTATAATCAACAACTATCAAAAAGATAGTAAGTTACTAAATAATAATAATAATAATAATAGAGTATATTGTGTACCACCTTACAATATGTAGTTGTCGTCAAAATAGAAGCAAAATAATGTTTACAAATATTTAAACTTCAATATAGTAGTAGTTTAATAAGTTTGATTATGTTGCTTTCCGCCTCCGGAGGATACTTTAAACTCTATACGAACAAATTTACCAGCATCTGTAATAAGTAATGGAAAGCACCCGATTACTAAAACAAGTTTAAACATTAGTAGATATCAATGTTCATAAAAATGTACCAAGGCGTTTACCTAAATAGTTAAGCAAGTACATCGCCTTATGATTGATAAGAATGTCGATTTCTGTAGTCTTAATTTTATTAGAAATATTTTTTAGTTTTTAATTTTTTTTTTTAGTGTTTCCAGCATTAACTACTTACAATCAATACATACACATAAAAAAAACACATACAAAAACAAAAACCAACTTAAAATGATAAGAATTAAATTTCAATTAAATATTTTTCAACATTTTGAGCTCAAATTGTTTCAAATCATTTCAGAGACCATTTTGAAAGATAAAACTTAGAAATCTGTATATACTTTCATTTCATAAATTGTTACATATCTTTTATCCAACAAACTAATTATATTTTTATACAATAATTTGTTCTTATTTTGAACTCAAAATGTTTTAAAACTCTCGCTAGATTAATTTGTGCCATCGAACTTAACGATCGGCCAAGCCGTTTCATAATAATTAAAAATCTTGACTTATGTATGAGTGGTCAACCAAATCACATAAACCACCTTGTGGCTAATTGTAGGATTGTAAATAGGTTTATTATTTTCAATAATGAACCATTGTAATCGTCGTTATTCAAGTTCAACTAAATTTAAGAACTTGAACCCCTCGAAATTTGAGGTTTAACGCTTCAAGATACGTAAAACTTGAATGTTCATAAAAATGTACCAAGGCGTTTACCTAAGTAGTTAAGCAAGTACATCCCCTTATGATTGAAAAGAATGCCGATTTCTGTAGTCTTAATTTTATTAGAAATATTTTTTAGTTTTTTTTTTTTTTAACTAAAATCGAATAAACAATTTGTTGATCTCTCATCATATTTTCTTCCACTCTCTATTAAGCGAAATTTTTTATTCCACGATTATCACTTTGATCAGATATTATTAGACTGTCATCCTATTTATAATTTTCCTTTAAATAGTACATGGTATATATAGCCATTAACTAGGCACAGTAATCACTACTAACGTCTCCTTGAGGAAGGTTTAGTGTACCAATTTCATCATTTATGTGAATATGGGAGATTTAGTTCGAAAGTATCTGAAAAAAAAACTGGTTTGAGTAAGCACTGGTGGATGAAAGTTCCAGAAAATAAAATCCTTCCAGTCATTATGGACAGTCCAAAGCCAAAAAAAGAAATATGAAAATTATTTCGAAGACTCAGTTCTATGAATCAACCTAGTTTAACAATAAAGAAGGCTTGTTGTAAATGCAAGTAATAAGCAACTAAAAGTAATTCAGGCAAACGTAGCTGCCAGTAATTGGTGTAAAACTTTTTAGTATATATTTTGTTGTTATACGTAACAATGCCTCAATAGAAGGCAAAAGATCACGTTGAAGGCCAAAAATGCAGAAGGACTGATAGAATCAAAAAAGATGCAACATCTCTGTGTGCAGATAAATGGAAAGAAATAGGCCAAGACAGGCAGAGATGAATCAGGCTAGTTAAGTGGCAAAAGATCTAGATGGTCTGAAATGCTAACAGAAAAAGAAAGTTGGTTTGTAATATTTTGATATACTACATTCTATAATTATTTTTCAGTAAAGTTTAAATTAAAAAAAAATTATTTTACGTGGCTGAGTATCAAGAAGGATAGTTTTTCTCCAGCAATGAAGAACTGAATGCGAATAGGTTTAGGAATAAAATTATAACTGATTACCTTTGAGTAGACACAGTTTGAATCTGGTTTCAGAGAGGATCCAGTTTTATTGAGAAACATTTTTTTTTTTTTATCTCTTTCATTCGATTTACAATGTTGTCAATATCAAAGCTATTGCAAAATCTCAACTCATGGTTTTACTTGAAGTGAGTTCTACTACAGGTAAATCAATCTAATACAGAACCACTATAGAGTGAATCGAGTTCTCTACAGGTCATGCCGGCCTTGGTTAGTAGATTTCAAATAAGAAATTCTATAGGATCTTTTTTTTTTATCTATTTTGCAATTGCAAACTAAAATAGACCGTTTTTTTTTTTCAATTTCTCATTGAAATAAACAATTTTTAAATTTTTTTATTAAAATAATTGTTTTTTAGAAATAATAAGAACAGTCCATTTGATCATATATAGATTTTCGTTAAACACCTTGAACAAAAAAAAAATCTATTCCGAGGGTCTTCATTAAAATTTTGATTCAATTGAATATATTAATGAAATATTATGCGTGCTAAGCAAAATACCTAACTTTATCAACTTAATGAAAATAACAATGAGTAGGTAAGACCTTCCTAATGCTCGGATATTTGTGTAGAAAACATTTATAATTAATATTTAGGAAAAAGCACCAGCGTTCTGAGGCTGAGACAGTTATCTATCCTGATTTGATTCACAAAATGATTTTTTAACTGAAACACGGCATTTCTTTTGATTTGATTTTTATTTTCGATGATACTTAAGTTCCGTACAATGCTGAACTTTATCCCATTTGAGAGATTTTGTCTTTCCTAAAAGAGTATTATTTTTCTATTTACTAATGTAAATTGCTAATTCTTAGTGTATAAAATACAGAACGTTAGTAACTCGTAAAAAATTCATCTAAATATAAATATATTGGGCAAGTTCTTAAATCATTGATTGAACCATCTGTGGTTCAGCGGTGCTTCGGCTTTTTGGGTGAATCAGCTGGATGAAATCTCAGTGTTGTTATATTTACTTCATATATTCAGTTTACTTTCCATCGGAATAAAACATGCAAACTGAGTTGTGTTTCAAATTCACTAATTCAGTAGCTAGTATTTTTTTATTTTTATGCGTTTACTAATCTTTCGCTGGAACCAACCAAATCGTTTCTAAATACAGCATAAATAGCATTAGGATCTATTGATGGAATCCATCGATGGAATTAGTGGTGAGCTTAGAAGCTTGCCCAGTTTATAATTTACTAATGTTAACTTTTAAAATTCTAATTTTTGTATTACGCAAATATTATGGTTTTTAATATTTAAACTCTTCAAACTCTATTTTATGCAATATATTATTTTCGATAGTTGGTTCAAAATCTTTTTCAGATCTAAAAACTGGTTTATAGTGTCTATTCCTTGAAAAATTTAGATTTTCAGATCCGAGCCCTAGTGATAATATATTATTATCTAAACCATTAAAAATTTATATAATAATACAATACAGACTACTGTTGCAATATCCTAATGGGTTATGTTTTTGACAAGTTATATAATTTTAAAAAAATAAGAATTATGTTATTTTTACTTTGGTTCCGAGATCATCTTTTTTATAACATATTTTTTAAATGATACATTTTAGATTATTAAAAAAAAGATATTTTATATAATATATTTTGTAACATCTTTTTATTCTAAAATTTATGTAAACTAATAACAACATTAGTAGTGGATGTCTATAATGAGGAGGATGTAGTGTCAAATACTTGAAGAAATTCAAACATAATGTTATAACGAACGAAAACCAAGTTGACGAAGAAATGAAAGCTAGAAACGAGAACGGAAGGTAATACTATTGGTCGCACCACAAGGTATTCCAAAACAAAAAGATACACCGAAACCTCAAAATAAAGGTATATAAAACGATACGTCGTACTGTTGTCATGTATGGTAGTGAGACGTGGACCAAGCAGCAGGAGAGGTTGCTGAGTACATGGGAGAGAAAGATTCATAGAAGAATGTATGGCCCTGCCAAAGAAGGAAGTCAGTGGCGCATAAGAACCAATGCAGAATTTTAGGACTTACATGGAGGACCTATCACAGTTTCTTGTATCGAAAAGGAAAGAATAAGAGATGGATGGGGAACCTTTATCAGATGGAACAAAACCGACTCTCCAAGTAAATAATGGAAGAACGACCAGATGGAAAAAAAGGAAGAGGCAGGCCTAGACTACAATGGTTGGTGACATAGAGGAAGATCTGAAGTCTCAGAGAGTGAGACATTGGAGAGAAGTGGCAGAGGATCGGTCTGATTGGAGGAAAATTGTCGAGGAGGCCAAGGTCCTTCATGAACCATAGCGCCAATGTAAGAAGAGGAAGAACTATTTTGGTATGTGCGAATAGGTAACTATATAAATATCTTAGGTTTTAGGTCAATAAATTTTACAAACACTTGAACAAGATTAGTGTATTTTAACCCTTACAACAGTAATTAACTTTTTCAGTGTTGTATTGTTCTACAGGATATTGACGATATTTCTTGCACAAGAAATAATGAAATCCCTTTATTGCAGGTCTGTAACATAACTGGAAAAAAGATAAAAAATAAAAATCTTCAATAAATATTATTAATATGGATAATAAACAAATTATAGCTACCAAGATATACAATTCTAAATAAAATTCAGAAGAAATGAAGGAATTTAACATTGATTAGAAAATAAGAAATTTTAGAAATATCACCTCGAATTTGAAGTACAAATCGGAAAAAAATATTAACATAATTTCTAAAATCGTCCCCCAACGGCTCTTAAATAAGTTTAGAATATTTTAACTGCTAGGAACTAATTGTGAATCTATATACAATTATTTTCATTCTGTAGATGTTATGCATTTGATTGAATAGAGCAGAAATTTCTGGCTGGTAATCTATATACTGTGAGGATAATATTGAAGAAAGTTCAGAATAATTGGTGTTGTAAATCATTCACATATTATTTTTATTTTATGCATGTTAAATATCTTTATTGAATATAGAAGTTTTTTTTCTGTTTAATAGGTATCGGATCTTCTAAAGTATAATAAACCATATTGCAAAAGAGTAGATTTTATTATTTAATCATCTAGATAAAGTAATATTTCTTTTAATATATAATGTACGCTACTATCAATTTTAGTATGTCTAAATAGGTGCATGTACAAATGTGATTTTATGTCTATAAATGTTTCAAACACTTGAATAAGTTTAGTATATTTTAGTTCTTACAATAACTCATATCTTTTCGGGTATTATATTAAGAATATTGGTAATATTTATTCGGCAGGAAATAAGATATATTTAAAATATCATTTCGAATTTAAAGTACCAAATGGAAAAGAGTAGTACCATCATTTCCAAAACTGTCACCCCAACGGCGCTTCCCGACCCTGAACTCATTTCCCATCTAGATCAGGTATATATTCGGGGGGAGGCAGAGTGGACACCATTCTCTCTCCAGCAGCTGGACCAGGATACATCAAAATGTACAAATTCGTAAGTTTTAATCCACTCTGAAGTGTTTATCACACACACATATATATATATATATATATATATAATATATATATATATAATATATATATATATAATGAAATATATATTTCATAAAATTGAAAAAATTGCTGTAATACAATATTCTAATTCCAGACCGTTCTCTTCGCCCTCATCTCCTGCGCCAGGGCTGGCTACATCGGAGGCTACGCTGCCGCTCCAACACTCACCTACGGCTATGCCGGTGGCTACAGTTATGCTTCTCCAGCAGTTGCCACCGTTGCTCATGCTCCAGCTATCTCTTACGCCGCACCGGCACTCGCTACTGTAGCACACGCTCCAGTCGCTGTAGCTCATGCTCCACTCGCCACCTCCTACGCAAACACTTACAGGACTGTGAACAAGCCAATCGCCGTTGCCGCCCCAGCTGTATCCTACGCTGCCCCAGCCGTCTCCTACGCCGCACCCGCAGTCTCCTACGCTGCACCCGCCGTTTCCTATGCCGCCCCAGCAGTTGCAACCGTCGCCCACGCTCCAGTTGCCACTTCTTACGCTAGCACTTACAGGACTGTCAACAAGGCTGTAGCTGTCGCTGCTCCCGCTGTCTCCTATGCCGCCCCAGCTGTCTCCTATGCAGCTCCCGCAGTCTCTTATGCTGCTCCAGCTATCACCACTGTAGCCCATGCTCCAGCAGTGTCCTACGCCGCCCCAGCCGTTGCCACTGTCGCCCATGCTCCAATCAGCTATGGTCTCGGCCTCAGGTCTGCCTACGGTCTTGGCAGCTACGGATACGGTCTTGGATACAGGTCTGCCTACGGTCTCGGCTATGGATATGGTGGATATGGACTTGGATCCACCCTCCTCCACCACTAAATTTCTTTATGAAGAAGTACCTGAATCTCAACTATTCCTGCTCCATAATATTTATTCCTCTTGTAAATACTGTTAAATACAACTTTTTTAGTCCAAATAATGTTTCCCTTATTATCTTATTGCTCTAATTTTCGTTAATGAGTTAAATAAGTTGAAAAATCAGTTAATTTGTATGTATTAAGTTGTCTTCGACAAATTTGAATTTTATAATTAGCAAAGATAAAACTATAACGATTACATTTATCTATGTATCGATGATTGAATTTTTATTATACATTCAATCTCCTACAATGACTATAAGACATGAAATTTAAAAGGGTTATAGAAATTCAATTTTCGTTATACAAGGACACGTTAACTTGTATCAGCTGAAGAAGATCTGATTTTTTTATATGTTGTATTTGATAGATTATTGATGATGAATTGAAGTTTTCGAGCTTAACACACCTTCTTGTATATAGAAGTTAAAAAAATTGTAATATTTAAAAAAAATTAAATGTTTGAATTTTTTTTATTGTTCGTCAGCTTTAACATAGAACAAATATTTGGGGACAAAAATGCAATTTCACAAACTGCAATAGTATTTGAAAAACTATTTAAAAATAAGAAATTTAGCAAATTATTCACATATGAGGTTTCTACATTTATTGCATGGTTTTTTTTTTCTCCCAGAAAGCTCATTTCACAGATGAAATGACATTAAAAAACAAGATTTTTTTTCATCACCAGCCACGCCCTGTGTACTTCCGTGGAGATTTAAATGCGGTGTGTGGTACTTTGTCGAGGTATCAATATGGGATGGTCCAAAATGTTTAGATCTTAAATTATTCATTGAGATACCGGTAGTGTTTTGAAGCAATTTGAGCCTAAGACATTTACCAGTGATTTAATAAAATGTATTAAACAAATTAGCTAAAATATATTTATCAATTTTTGAACGGACGGGTGTTTTATATGTTGTATTTGATGGATGGTTAGTGATAGATACAAGTTTTAAGACTCGACGGATATTTGATTCTTTTTGAAAAAATTGAAGAAATGTAAAATATTCTGATTTTTTAGAAATGTTAGCATGCGGGCCATACTAAATCATCCAGCCATTGTACAATTTGACAACCATCCTCCACAAATCTTGATAAAGATTTATATACATTAAGCAAATACACAAATAAGAAAAGAAGAGAAGTTTTACCCAATTCTAACGAGTAGTTCTAGAATTATGGTCGTTTGAACTTTTGAAATATTTGAAGTTCGGATTTTAGCACTAAACAAGCTTTTAGTTGTTTGGAATTTTTTTTTGTAAAGTCAAAATTTATTGAACTTGAGGTTTTCAGTAGAGAAGCCAGAAAAAAAATAAAACAAAGAGGCAGTCGGTTTTAGTCTTTGGCAATGCGTAACCGAAACTTGAACTTTTCATTATTTTCATCTTTGGTATCTAACTTGAGTATTAACCTTTGATATATTGTAACACATTGAGTTCATTTAAGATTATTTTTAATTTTGTCGATTTTAAAAGTCTAACAACAAATTTTGAGATAAAACAAACCCCATTCTAACAAAATAAAACCAAAGTTGTTGTGCCTTCCACGCCCAAACGAAACTCTAATCTCTTCCAGCTATACATTAATTTACCTTCTGTGAGCTTAGACAACATACGGTTTCAGGGAGAACCTGAATATCGACAGACATGCATGGATGAAGCTGAAAGTAATTTGTCCTGGAAGGAAATTGACTGCGTCAACAAGTTTTAAAATTCATAATAACTGGCAACCTACTTACATTTTAATAAAGATATGAATGATTTTCCATGCCTTAAGACAGATCGAGTTATTTATCAGGATTCAGAGTTTTTTAAATTAAAATATATTTCATTTAATTAAATCATTTTAACCTTTTCAATTTTAAAGAAATTAACAATTTATATTCATAACATATGATCACTTATCATTCCAAACCAATCATTAATAGAGAAAGATAAACCATAATGAACATTTATCTAAGCATTTTTAACTGAATTTGTTTTAAATTGCTCCATTACCATTCATCAATAACACAGGGTGACTAATAATATTGCAACGAAACTAGAGCAAAAATTGTACACAACAGGAATATATATGGATGTCGCTCAAGCATTCGATAGTCTGGCATAAACTGCTTCTCTTCAAACTGAAAACGATACTCCTTCCTTCCTACTATCTTTTCCTTCAATTCTTTCTTTCTGACAGATTTTTCTCTGTCTGCCAAGGATCAGAACTATTTTCATCACTGCGCTGTTATACATCATACACGCACGACATTCATAACAGTGACGGAACAGTTTCAGCGACATATCACATACAATGCAGCAATTCTAACAAGATATAAAAACCCTACACACGCCTCAAAGACTTTACAACGTCATCTAACTAAACCCAACTATTGGTGCAAACTTTGAGAAATTCGACTCAACCAAGACAAATCATAACACATCGCTTCCACTCTTCGAGATGAAACATGCTCTCCTTTTTACGTCGACAATGCCAAAATTCCTCAAACAGATAAAATACAATATCTTGGATTGCCATTAGACAGAAGACTGACGTGGCACAAATTATCAAGAAAAGAAAAACGTTAAGCATCAGACAACGCCTATTGTGTTCGCTTCACTCAAGACGCTCAAAATTAAACCTAAAATAAAATAACACTTTATTTGTGTTATTTATTTTTAAAATAACACACACACATGACATACCTTGTAGTCCCAACATTTTAACAGCAACTTATGCAGACGACACAGCAATTTTATCAAGACACAAAAATCCAACATACGCCTCACAGACCCTACAACAGTATTTAACAAGATTACATGACTGGTTCAAAATTTGGAAAATCCGACTAAATCAAGACTAATCACAGCACATCACATTTACGCTTCGACACGAAACATGCACTCCAGTTTTCCTTGACAATACACAGATTCCACAGACAGACACTGTTCACTACCTTGGTCTGACATTTAACAGAAAAATGACGTGGGCCCACGTATAATCAAAAAACGAAAAACGTTAAACCAAAGATTAAGAATTCTGAGTTCACTTCTTTCGAAAAATTCAAAACTAAAACTTAGACAGAAATTGAACACATACAATTACTTACTAAAACCTATTTGGACTTACGCATCACAGATATTTGGAACTGCTAAAAAGACTCACTTAAACAAACTTCAAATCATTCAAGCAAAAACATTCAGAACAATTACAAAAGCACCTTGGTACGTTAGCAACATAACCTTACATACTGACCTCCATATGCCGACTGTTAACGAACACAAACGTACTCATTACAAACGATTCCACGACAACTTACAAGGACATCCTAATACACTTATAAATGACATGACCACTACGAATATGCCAGTTAACGTCTGTAGAAGACTGAAGGGGAGCTGGATGAGGGACCTCTTCGCCTAATGTAGATATCACGCCGAGTGAGGTGCCGCTGGGCACTGATCCTCCTCATGCCTTTCATGACATTATATTTAACAATCGATCTCACATTCACTGGTTGTCATTACCATTATGATAGGTGTGAACAAAACATTAAAGCTAAAAAAAAAAAATAAAAAAAAAACTTACTTTTACCTACTTAACTTATATGGGACTACGCTTCACAAAGTTCGTAGCCAAAACGACCCACATACGAAAACTAAAAACTATTTAGTAAAAAACCTTCAGGACAATAACTAAAGCATCATGTCAACAGTTAAATACGACAAACACCCACAAAAGATTTCAAGAAATCTTACATGGGCATACTAATGCATTTATACAAAATATAGCTAGCTACATTTAACATGCCCGGAAACACACTTAAGGGTTTAAAAGGAGCTGGATGAGGGATTTCCTCGATTGTTAATACCTTAAAATCAATACAGGAATTGATACCGCTGAACACTCCTCTCTCTCACGCCGATCAAGCCATTACTAGCATTGTTCTCGACATCAGATCCAATGGTGGACAGGTGTAGGTGACAAAATAGAGAAGAGGGAAAAAAATAGTAACAGAAAAAACATTTGGACTAAAAATGTTTTATTTAACAGTATTTACAAGAGGAATAAATATCATGGAGCAGGAATAGTTGAGATTCAGGTACTTCGTTATAAAGAATTTTAGTGGTGGAGGAGGGTGGAGCCAAGTCCATATCCACCATATCCATAACCGAGTCCATAGGCGGACCTGTATCCAAGACCGTATCCGTAGCTGCCAAGACCGTAGGCAGACCTGAGGCCGAGACCATAGCTGACTGGAGCATGGGCGACAGTGGCAATGGCTGGGGCGTGGGCAACAGTGGCGACAGCTGGGGCGGCATAGGACACTGCTGGAGCATGGGCTATGGTGGCGATAGCTGGAGCAGCATAAGAGACTGCGGGAGCAGCGTAGGAGACAGCTGGAGCAGCGACAGCTACAGCCTTGTTGACGGTCCTGTAAGTGCTAGCGTAAGAAGTGGCAACTGGAGCATGGGCGACGGTTGCTACAGCTGGGGCGGCATAGGAAACGGCAGGTGCAGCGTAGGAGAGTGCTGGGGCAGCGTAAGATACAGCTGGGGCGGCAACGGCGATTGGCTTGTTCACAGTCCTGTAAGTGTTTGCGTAGGATGTGGCGACTGGAGCATGAGCTACAGCGACTGGAGCATGTGCTACAGTAGCGAGTGCTGGTGCGGCGTAAGAGATAGCTGGAGCATGAGCAACGGTGGCAACTGCTGGAGAAGCATAACTGTAGCCACCAGCATAGCCGTAGCTAGAGCCGTAGGTGAGTGCTGGAGCGGCAGCGTAGCCTCCGATGTAGCCAGCCCTGGCGCAGGCTATGAGGGCGAAGAGAACGGTCTGGAATTAGAATAATAATTCCAGTAATTTTTCAATTTAAAGAAATATAGATTTCATTAGTGATAATTTGATAAATAAATGTATTTATATGGCAATAACTTCAGAGTGGAATAAAACTTACGAATTTGTACATTTTGATGTATCCTGGTCCAGCTGCTGGAGAGAGAATGGTGTCCACTCACCCTCCTCCCGAATATATACCTGATCTAGATGGGAAATGAGTTC